CGCTATTCTGCTCGGCCACCACATCATCAGCTGCACTCACCGTCCCCGATTCCTGCAGTCAAGTCTCATATTGTTCCAATCTCTGCACCTCTACCACATGTGGTGTTTGCTCATGCAGCTCAACCACCCAATACCAAACCAAGTGAACCGCCTGCAAACAAAGTTGCTAATCCTCAACTGCAGCCTTCTTCATGTAAGTTGCTACTTAAACAAGTCAGCCAATTCAGCAAGAGATATCAAATCATAGAGTACCAATTCTAATCAAGCTTTTTCTTTCTGTTATTGTCTAACAGCTAATATGGGTTTACCAGCTATGCCATGGATTGTCCTACTCATGCTGATAGCGGCCGGGCTTCATGCATAACGACATTAACATGTCTAGTAAACTGTATCATAACCTCCTCTCCTTCAACCGAATACTCAAAACTTAAGTGTATAAAAATGAATTCATATGGAAACTAGAAACAAAACTGGAAGAGTTTTTGTTATAGAATGTTGCTGCACAAAAGTGTGCAGCCTTCTACATAATTCCCAATTGAAGAATATATGCTCTAAGAGCTTTTTGTATATTATATTTCTTAATAGAGAAAGTTTAGTAGTCGTTTTTCCGGCATAAAGCCACTCCCAGTCGCAGGCAATGTCTAAAGTAAACCAGGGATTCGCTTTATGGTGGTCTTAAATATTTATAACCCAAAACATTAAAAACATTGAGTTTTACAACACAGGGAAATAAGTCAACAAGGTCTGTATATAAACAAGTCAAATGTTCGTCTACTTTTTAAAGTCAAAATGAGTATGAAACGAGCTAAGTCGGATCAGGTGGCCACGAGATGGAGACCTGTCCGGGGAAGAACGCATGAGTAGGTAACATACTTGACACTGTCGAGAAGCACCACCACGAAGATCCGGGAAAGTGATTTCGGGTTTGGGGGAATGACTCTGTCAGTTTCAGAGTCAACGATCTCTCTTGGATCAAGCAACACTGAGACAACCATGGAGGAAGATGGTGTGGGTTTGTTGTTAGTATTCCCAGAGAAGCTCTTGTTTTGAGCGTCTTTGCCCGGCTGAATATCGGTGATGTTGAGCTCAGACGCCACAAGTGAAACAGGAAGTCCCTCGAGAATTCTCCTGTTCTTCACTCTCTTGTCATGGGTAGTGACATTTTGGAGATGCTCCCGTGTAATGTTGGAGACAGATGATGGGACTATAGCACCGGGAGCAACATCAAACTGGAAAACCTCGGTGCACATGCTGTAATCCATTAGTGTACCTGCAAGAGATGATGCACTAAAGAGTTAGCTCCAAGACTATTCCATTTAGTAAAACTACAAGAATAGCACCAGAATTACCTGAACCACCTTCATGAAACCATTGGTGAAGTCTTTTCCCTTCAGGTGAGTGCAGAAGCAATTCTCCATTTCCTCTGACCTCAGGAACAGCTAATGCAGAAGAAACAGCTCCGGGGAATTTGGGTTTTTTGCTTTTTACTTTTTCAGAGATACTCTTCTTAGCAGAATCCATTGCTTTCTCGCTCGCCAAAACCGAACTAATAATCAAGTTCCCATCAATCTTCACAAGACCATCGTTCCTTGGGACATAGAGAGAAGCAAATAGAGGCTCACTAGCATTTCTCAACGGACTCGGTCGTCCTTCTACTTTGGGATGAGCATTATAATCTACATCTCCACAACTATCTCTCTCACCATGACTCCTCCTACTAGAATGGCTATTTCCTTCAGATATTCCACTTTCTCTTCTAACATCAGAGCCATCACCAACCATTAGAACTCTCCCCTTATGTTCATCATAATACCGACGACCCTCATAACTAGACAAACCACTAAAGCTTCCACTCTCTCCTCCATAGTTTACATTCATAAACGGAACCAACGTACCAAACAAGAAGATAAAGAACAAGATCCCAATAAAACTAATACTAGCAACCTTCTTAATCTTGCTTTTACCCTCATTTTTCTTATTCTCTTGCTTCTTCGGTCTACAACTCGAAGCAGGCTTAGGATCCAATTTAGGAATAGGAACCAATGGAGTATGTGATCCATAACCTCTGACAGGGTAAGGTGGATATGGCATCCATTGATACGGTAATGGTGGTGCAGCCATATAAGGATTCATAGGAGGAGCACCAGAAGCAACAGCCATTTGCTGCCTCAAAACTGCATTCTCAGCCATAACATAAGAAATCTTACCATTCAATTCAGCAATGGTGGAATTCATACTCTTCACTTTCCCTTGAAGCTCTTCAACGTATTGCTTCTTCCTCAACCTCGATAGCTGTGCGCTTTCACGGTTTCTAATCAGCCTCACCTTCTTCTTATCATCGTCTTCTTCGATTGTAGCGGCTGATTTATCATCGGATTTTTGGTACTTGAAGCTCCTGTATTCGCCTCCAGAGTCTCCCTTCTCCTTCTTCCTCTTGCTAACAGAAGATTTCTGCGGATTGCTCGAATCAGGGGAGGATAACGCGTCGTTCGCGCCGGAGACAAAAGTCTTCGAGCCTTGAGATGAAACCTGAGAATGAACAGAATCAGATCGCTCTTCCGATGAGCCTCTGTCGCCGTTCTTCGTTTCCGATGAGTCCAGATTCGCTTGGTTTCCGATCGCTTCTGGAATCTGATCTCCGGATGTCCCGAATCCATCTGGGATCGCCGCCGCGAGATCCGCATCTAAGGTAAAGTCGAAGAAATCATCGGAACCATCAAATCGGAAATCTATATCCCCAAAATCGACTTCTTTTTCGTTCTCTTCGTCGAAAAAGAAGTCGAGATCGGAGATCGGGTGTTCCATTGAAATCGGATCAGATAGGAAAGGAAGATCTAGCGGAGGAATTGAGATCATATCGGAATCCGAAAATAGATTAGGGTTTAGATCAGACATCTCCGGTGAGTGAACAAGCATCGATGTGGATTCCGTCATCGCCGATGGTTGAATTTTCTCTCTCGACTCGTTTCGTAATTGTTCCACACGGTTAAAGCTTTGAAGAAGACGACGACGTTGACGAATATACGAATAGCTTAAGAATATTACCTCCACGCGCCTGAATGCGCGTGTGCATCCCTGAAACTCAGAATTTTCGAATCTTGATTTACACGTGTGTCCAGTGTGTGTTTCCTTTATTGGCTTGTTGCTTGGAGTAAGAAATGTATTTGTGAAGGCTAAAATTTTTTTTTTTAAGAAAAAAAAAATTGTTTCCAAATCTATAAATATGAAATTAACTTGATTTTCTTAATATTCTGTGTGTATATATTTTAAATTTATATTCTTTTAGTTATATATCTTGATTATATATTCTTTTAGTTATATCATGTCATTTTTAAAGATTATAACATAAATATAACAAAACTATTGGAGATATTATCTG